CCGAGCGCGTCGATAGTATCGACTCGATACCCGCTCGCGCAACGGAAGGGAATAAGGTCGACTGCTCCAGCGAACTCGGAAATCGAGAAAAACGCCCTAAGTCGGGACGCTTTATGTGGGCTGATCTGCTTGACGGCCAGCAACCGGGGCCCCTGCGAACCGGCGGGTAGGCAACCCGGCGGAGCACTCGAGTATAGTGCGGCACTGCCTACGCTGGGAGTCTGGCTGGAGTGTCACGACAGGTACCAACTGTCTTATTGAAGGTCCCGGTCATGGAAAGGTAGCTCCTAAACCAGGGCCTGCCCCCGAAGGTCGAATAAAAAAGTACGGTGTTTTCTAAACGGCCGGCCGACGGCCGCATGCCCGGGCACTCTGGGCAGGGCAGCCCACACAGCCGGGTCGGGCCCGCCCCGCCCCGGTCCACTCGCTACCCAAACAGCAGATCAAAATGCATGCACTGCGGTAGAGAAAGTGGCGACGATGTGGGGCCCCGTGCGGCCCGGGCCCGCACACCCGGGGCCTGGGCCTGACCAGGGCGAGCGTGCCGTCGGGCGAAATGGGCAGCAAAAAAATGACGAGATAAAGAGCGTGTCAAGCGAGAGGCGCGCCCATTCTAAGCCGTTGCTCTGATTGTAATAAAGGGTGTGTAACGACGTATGTCAATCAAAGAAAAATGGAAAGATTATCGTCTTTGTTGATCCTGGAACTCTTCCGTCACTTGTACGGCTTTGTTTTGTCGAGTATACCCTAAGCAGTTACAAGTTAATAAAATCACCCCAGTGCCATTAAAACCGTTCTTTTGCCGCTTCGGTCATGTGATGATGTTAAAGAAAGGCACTCGATGTGCCATCATAATCGGTTGCCAATGGCCGGCCCGAGGCGGTGCGGTCGCTAACGCAAACACCCTTCCCCCCGTCTGTGCAACCCACCCAGGTCCGTGCCGAGCTGTTTGGCCGGAGTGTGAATAAGTAGCAGGTGAGTGTTTGACCTCCTGGTGGGGCGCCTGGCTACTGACGAGCGGGCGGAGCGGGGCGGGGCGGGGCGGGGCGGGGCAGGGCGGGCTGGACTCGGCGGCGGCGCTACTCCGTGAAGTGGGACCTGGAGGGAGTGAAAGAGGGGGCGGGGGTCATCTCGGCGCATAAAACCCGGCAGGTGCATTCTGTTTAGGTGAATTACGATACGTCCATTGGAAAGCACAATACATACCGCTCTGTGTCAATGGGGACGTAAACCATGCAGGCAACGACGAGACGACTGTGCGAGAGTAGTATAGTAGTAGTTGTACAAACAAGCTACCACCTTCAGCGCCATCTCTGACTCATTCACCAGGCTATCGTCATTGATCTAAACCCCCTATAATCTCATACCATCGAGATAGGCCCTTCTGGTGAAGACGCGCGCACGCCATAAGGGAAAAGTTTATTATGTATGGCTTCAGCCTCTAATTTTGAGGACGTCTCAATCGACTCGTGTTCGATTAAAATTAATACGTCTCTGCAATGTCTCTAATTTTTAACGAGGCTGTACACAATCTTAATATGCTTCGTAGTGTTAAACCGCTTCGCTCCGTTCATTTAATAACTACACCATTGTGCGTTACGGCGAGTTTAACTTCTTCAGACACACAGTGCTGGATATCTGTTAGCCTCCTCGCAACTTCGTGTACTCCAATCGCGTTTGCCACGCGACTGGCCCGGCCCCAGCCCTGGGTCCGGGCGGGTTTCGTCCAGTCTTGTTGGCCCGGGCCGGGCCGGGCTGCTCGACCGCTGCCGGGCTGCTTTCTCCGCGCGGGTTTGGTAGGTTATATGGCCAAACCAAAAGTCGCCTTTTGCCTTCCCTAATCCGCGGCGCCTTCGGGATGCGTCGTGGCGACGACGACACGATCCCGTGACATCCGGGGCCACCCAGGCGAGAGAGAGAAGCCACCCACTGCTGGGTCTGGCCCGCGTGGGTGCGCGACACGTTTTTGGATGCCACCTGCAATATTACCACGTTTTCCATAAAGTCAAAAAATGCGGGAGGAAAAACAAAACAATGTACAGTATTTTATATCCGAGGAATTTTGCGGTTAGCTGATCATCGTCTTGACACGTTTGAATGAGAAGAGGTGGAGTCTACAAAACGTACTTTTTATTATTTATTTCTACAGTGGCTGATGGCTGATGCATCAAAAGAAAAAAAACAAAAAAAACATGAACATAAACAAATAAACTTCTGAAAGAAAATTTTCTGTTCAAAATGAAGAAAGATGTCAGTTTTGGTGATTTTTTGTGAAAGGAATATGTGAGTCGTGTTGACGTTGTTAGTGACGGTGGCGGTGTATGAGTGGCGATCTCTGTCTTCACTATTACATAATCACTGGGTCGAGTCACCCACGCGTGTCTCAGTGCGATGGGCGAGTTCGGGTGAATCGTTGTTGCTAAAGTGTCGGTTAAATTAATTAGAATTAGAATGGCGAGATTGTAAAACACTAGAGTTCCCCTCCCCCCCCCCCCCCCCCCCCCCCTCCCGACATAGTTTTGTGTCCCTAAACTCTGCTCGTCCGACGTTTTAAACGCTATGCTATAAGGTATATCACAAAGGTAATTCACAGCCTCCAGGTGCAGCGAGCTGCTCAAAGGAACCAGAAGAAGCGCCGTCGGGGTATCATCTTCCTGGCGACCATGCGGCGGGGGGCTGCGGACAGAGAGCACGGGGTCATAACACGTACAGTACCGGAAAGCTAAGTGTGTCACTTACTTGAAGGTGTGTAACGCCATTCGTACACATGGACGCACAAAGTGTTCAAAGGAAAATTCACATTTTACCCCCCCTAACAGTACGAATGGCATTCACATAAGTGTACGACATTTACACACTTGTGTTTCCAGGTAACCTTTTTTTTTAGCGTGATTTTTCTGGCTTGCTGAAGCGAATTACTTTAAAGTAATAGGTGACAAGGCAAACCGGAAAAGCAAAAGACTTAACAAAGCTTCCCGTACCAATAAACGTGCGTTTTCAATAAAACCCATGCGACTTGTTAATTGAGGGTTTGTTAGTCGATCTTGCAGACGGGAGAGTTTCCAGAGCGTCCCCAGGAAATTTGCGTAGTCGCGCCATTCCTCTGCTTTTTTCTGCGAGGTCCGGCGCCACCGCGGCTGATCAAGTTGACCGGCCGGCCCGGCCTGGCCGAGAGGCCTCGCTCGTGAGAAAGCGTCGGCCATGAACGTCTCTCGAGGGCCGACCAAGAAGGGCCGGACAGGACACCACCAGGGCGCGTGGTCCATGACCTTGGCGCCGCTTGGCGCGGCAGGGCTGGCCGCAGTGTTTTTGTCGCACTTACTTACTCACTGAATCAGCCTCGCTTCCCCTCCGGGTCTAGCTTTAGGAGGACTGCTTGGCTCTGCCGGGGTGCGTCCGGAGCGCCATCGCTCCCGTATCTGCTTTCTCCGTCGCTCGCACTGAACGTCTGTGCTCCTCGTCTTGCTCGCGCCGCCGGCCCAAACGTTTTCTGACAGTGTTACGCACATCTTTATTTCTCATAGAAAACACGACTAATTTCGTTTGACCTTTACAGGTGCGCAGTGTCGGTAAAGGATCGATGACGGCTGCCGCTGCCACCGGACCCAACGCTGAAATAAGGCACTTCGTGAGTATTAAATATGAATAAACTAGCTGTAGGTGTCCCGTGCGCGCGTGTGTGTCTGAAGGCTCCCCCACGGCTATCGAAGCCAAGCAAAACAACCGTTTTTTTAGGCGAAAAGATGCAGAGCTTTTTATTCTCCTTTTTTATTGCGCGGCCAACGATAATGGTGGTCCTTCTTTCTTTTCCCCTACGTTGATATTCGCGTCAAACTTTCGCGCCCCACACTCAGCTCGATGAGGGCGGGTCGAGGCGAGACCAGATTGGACCCGCGGCGAGAGTGAAACAGAGAGAAGTGAGTAATGTGACGACTTTTTGAAGCCTCCCCTCCCCCTCCCCGACTGCGCACCCAAACCAGGACCCGCCGGGGGTCCGTCGCATACGACCCTGTAAGTATACAGTCTCGCGGTTATTCCTTCGGATGTGGATTGTACTCGTCCCGTATACCTCTGTTATGACCCACCAGTACGTGCAGCCCCCCCCCACCTTTTCCAACCTTATCGACCGCTGGCTCTGTCGAGCCGGAAGCAGCCCGACTGACTTCAACGTATCTGACCCACATAATCGACAGCGAGTTGGAGATGGTATATACGATGATGAACGGCCGTGGGAATGAGATGGATTATTTGTACCGCGCCCGGAGTTTGTTTTCTTTTTCTGTTTCTCGGCTCAAGCGTTATTTAGAACCACGCTTCGTATTCGACTAGTAGTGCTGCCCCGTCCAGGCGCACGTGCATACGTCCCGCATCCGGGAGCCCTCGAAGGGTCTGCCCGTGTTAGGGCGGGGCCGACGTCTCTACGGCTTGGGCCTCAGTGTCCTGCCTTTATGTTTGCCCACCTGGAACGCCGCGTTAGCCTAGAAAATGCATCCAACCCGCTGCAGGAGTAGTGTGACCCTGCGAACCTGTTCCGACACCAAAACAAGATGCATCATTATTGTTAGACAAGAAAGAGAGGGTTAGGATCTGTAGCAGGCGCTAGGGCAAAGGGCAAAGCTTCGCCCCTCGATTGCGTCAGGTTACTCATTGTTTATTAGCTAGGGTACGAAAATGGGAGACCCGCATGCGGAGAGGTTAGTTTTCGTTTTTTGTTAATCGTTGTTAGTCCTAGTCGGTGTAGCTGCTGGTCGAGCTATCAGCTTCCTCGGTCCCGGTGGTTTCCTCACCTCGGCTGGACCGCAGCCCAAGCTCCGCCTTGGAGAAGGGCCTGGAGTCGGACGTCTCCAGGTAGAAGCTGCCTCTCGTGCTGGAAGGATAGAGCAAGCAACATGAGCTCAGTGATGGCAGGGTGCCGGTTGGGCTGCCTGCGCTCCGGGCTGACGGCAGGATGGGTGTCCTACCTCCCAGGCGCGCGGTGCAGCGCACACGGACTGGTTACTCTACGGAAGCAGCTCACTTTCTTTATGCCTCCGTTTTATTGTTGCAAAACCGGTAGTTTTTTTTCCCCCTGGCCTGACGATTGTTTTCCTGCCATTGAGACGGGTGTAATTGCATAGTTATTGTTGTGCGGTAGCCGCAATAAGAGCCGCACGCGGAAATGAGCTACCGGCACTTCAGCTCATCTATCGTCAAGGAGCTGGCTATGAGTGACCAGCATGACCGCCACTCAGCCAGTCGATCACTCTGGAGTGACAAGTTGAAGCATCATCGGCGGCCGTGGCCTCCGTATCACCCTCCCTAAACGCGCGTCCATTGTGGGCACCGACAAGTGCGTTCCAGCAGCCAATCGTCCTTCTCTGCCGATGAGCACGAACAGGTGACTGGCGACTGATTGCCACTCACTCGTTTATGACTGGCCGCGCTAAGTGATCAGGTGATCCAGAGGGTCTCGGCGGAGCTGCCAAGATTGTGTGTTATGGGGCTTTGGACGAGAGCGAGAGCGACACTTGTGAAAAATACTCATAAGTTTACACGAAAATTTTCCATGGTGTGAGTCCGTAAAATTACAAATTAAAGTTGTAAAATTACAATCACTTCCTATCGACTTGGAATTAATCGAGGAGCAAAATTGGTACGCCGTAAATTTACAACATCATTTTGTAATTCCAAATTACAAGAAAAGTCCTAACATTACGAGAAAATTTTTCACAGTGGAGAGACGCGGAGGCGGGCGACCAACAGTTTTCTCTCTCACTCTACCATGCCTCACTTATCCGAGTGGCTGCCTCGGTGCGTCTCGCGCCTCGCACTAGTTTTTCTCCAAATGCAAATCGCGGGTGATTAGAATTAAAGTCAAAGTCAGCGAAGTGGTGGACATCCAAAGGCACGTGATGCCTGAAAACCTTGGGTTTTGTGTGACATTCTAAAATTGAATGCCCCGCTAGATTATTTCTCTGTGGAGATGTAGAAGGTAGAAGCGTTCGACGTTAAAAATAAATGCACTTCCTCTTTTCCGTAAACTCTGACCCTTCCTGAGTTCAACGTGATCCCGCCTACAAAACGGGTCAAATAATGGGGTTAAATAAAGCAGTGCCGCGGTTTTCAAGTGCGGCTTCTCATCTCAAACGCCTTGCAGGCGTATCATTCCAAACCACGACAGAATTATAGTGGTAGGCGGATCTGGCACCAAGGCCAAGGCCCTCGCGAGCAGCAAGTGCCAAAGTCAACGATTACTTCGCCCCGAGAACAGAAACAAAGGCAGAATCCGTCACACACACAGCGTGGCCCAGCGGAAACATCGCGTCCGATAAAATCACCCGAACCGGAAGCTCAAATCGGGTTCGCCTCTGAGTGACATTAACCTGTCATGACATATTTTCGTTCGTGACGGTGACGAAACGGCTTTCGTTTAGTCCGTGCCCATGCATTTTTCATGGATTTCTAGTGATATCCGTGCGAAAACCAAAGTGGCATTTACAATGGGCACTTGCTTTTCCCAGCTTTCGAGTAGATTTCGAGCGTGTAGCGCAACACAAATTGCCAGTGCATCGCAGACTCTTCGCGCATCCAGATGCACTGCAAGAACTGTTTGCAAGGATGCTAACAGCTTGCAGAGACTTTCTTTGCGATACGAACTATTACTTTGCAATTCAAAGCCCGAAACTTCTTTGCAACTAGGCAAAGAATACAGTTTGCGAGCATTTATACAATGCGTGCTTACCTGACTGGCGTGTTGAATCCCATAATGGCTTTCTTGTTGTCCTCGCACTTGCCGGCGGCGAAGTCGTCGTAGCTGGCGCACTCTACGCCGACGTACGGCGGCAGCTCGGGGTCCAGGGACTCGGCGAAGAAGCGCCAGGAGCGCCAGTGGCTGCAGAAGTCTGCCGGCGGGTGTGGTCAGTTAGCAGCAGGTCACGGAGAGGCAGACTCCCATACTTGAGAAACTCACGTATTTTAGTAAACTTTTCTCGGATTTTGAGAAAGGCTCCCCCCAAAATGAGGGAATTTCCCTCAATTTTTTGGGAAGATCTCCTCAAAATCTGAGGTGAGGAGTTGTCCCTCTAACACAGGCGTTTCTCAAAGTTTTGCCTATTGTCCCCAACAAACAGACATTGTTTTTAGCAGATGATACATTATACACAACTGAAAGTAATAATACTTTACTTAACTATGTATCATTGCTTGTACTCTCATGCGGAGCGCTGAGAGGCACCAGGCATGACGTCATCCAGTAGTCTGTAGGGCGCGGGATGCGGCCCCCGCGCTCCGACCGTGCCCATGCCGCACAGCCCATAGCCCTATACGCAGGCTCCCCTCCCCCTCCCCCTCCCTCCGGCAGACTCGGCTCGTCACTCGGCTCGAAGCGCAGCTCGGAGCTCGGCTTGGACCGTCTCGGCTGAAGAACGCGCGCGGCGCGGTAATTCAAACTCTCTATGAAGCGACAAAACTAAATGAATTCAGAAACATTATTTTCAAACCATTTCTCTATTGAGAAGTATCACTCGCAAACTGTCTCTACGCCCCTCTTCACACTAACTTGGTCTTAGACCCTTCAAAACATTACAAAGTATAGGAGACACAGAACACAACCCAAATCTTTTTGTGTATAAATACGTAATTAAATGTGAATCAAGATTTGTAAATTATCTACGTACTTCTGCAGAATGCGTCCTGTGATCTCCCACTGAAATATTATAGACTGGAATAATTCTTGAATTCGTATCATCTGCTTTCACGATCCGTTCCTGAACGGAACTTTTTTTTATCGTGCATCGTCAACACACTCACCCTCGTCCGAGAGCGCGCGCGCGTTGGGCGTGCAGCCGGGCTGCAACCTCCGCCCGCCGTTAGGGTAGAAGTCGGCGTCCCCGGTGGCGTACTGGACGCCGTAGTTGCCCCCGTCCGTGTGGATCACGTCGACGAAGTGCGCGTCCGAGGGCGCGATGTGGTTGGTCGTGAGGCTCTTGACGTTGAAACCTGGCAGCGCCGGATCCAGTGCTGCGCGAAGAAGCATGTTTATCACATCACCCGGATCGCACCCCTTGACACTTGACACTGACGAGGTGTATCGGAGAGTCCGAACAGGGGGCGAGGAAGTCATTCGTGTGAGTGAGATGGATGATAGCCTTCTCTCTCTCTCTCTCTCTCTCTCTTCCCCCTCACCCTCCCTCTCTCTCCCCCGCCCTTGCACACTCACCCGTGACCCTAGGCACCTTCCCGTTCCTGAGGTTCTTGCCCGTGAGCCCGGCCGCCTGGCCGCCGAGCGAGTGCCCCACCAGGTACAGGCTGTCGATGGCGAGCTGGCGCCCGGCGTGCCAGGCGTCCAGCTGCTTGGCCACCAGCTTGGCCACCTCGGGCACCAGCAGCAGCGGGATCACGTAGAACTCGGCGGCGACCTTGGACCAGTCGACGAACACCACGTTGAACTTGGCCTGTCGTATGAACGCTGCAACGGTACGCAGTGGGACAGTGTCAGTACGATGAGTAAGGGCGTAGGCGGATAAGATTTTTTGTGGTGTCCGCGCTGCTTCCAGCAGATCAATATCCAGGCAAATCCGGGCAGGGGCGGGGTAGGCAACAGCGGGAGCGCGGTGGCGGCTGAGTGAGGCGGGCTGCCTACCCCAGGATGCGCAGGCGCTCAGCCGCCCCTCCCCGCGCCGCTGTGCTGCTGAGTGAGGCGGGCTGCCTACCCCAGGATGCGCAGGCGCTCAGCCGCCCCACCCCGCGCCGCTGTGCTGCTGCTTCCATTTCACGGGGTTAATGGCCAGGACAGCCGGTCGTGGCGGTTTTATGGTCAGCGTGTCAGCTGCTGTGAGCCGCCGTTTGGCGTGGCACCGTATGGGCGCCAAGCGGGGTGAGTAACGCTGACCCTGACCTACGACCCCTAAAACACGGCGCGCGTCGCTGCTGACGGACGACTCACCGGACATGACCGTCTGCACGCTCTCCTTGTCGCCGTGCTCGGTGTACCCGTGGTAGTACAGCACGGTCGGCTTGTTGGCGTTGAACCGGGGGTCCTTGAGCAGGCCGTCGGCCTGCGACTCGAGCAGGTACTCGGCGAAGTCCGCCGTCGAGCTGGAAACAGCACGTGGTTAATTCGGGGAGTGTGAGAATCGGTTGCTGCTGTCACGATGAGCTATGCGTGATGTTTGTCTTACTACGTTTTACCGCGGTCCAAAGATCCCAGGCGGAAACAGAAACAGAAAAAAAGAGAGAGAATGAAATCGTGAATGCATAAAGCCTTGTGTGACGTTGTAGCGGTGTGCCTGTGAATATCGTTAAAATATTTTCTTGTAAAATAGAAAAAACGAAAATCCAAGGATTATTGATTTTTGAGGAATATATTACATGGAAAGGCACTCACGCATAAGTTTCTACTTTCATGTCGCAAGTGTTGATCAACGAGAATTTTTTTCCGCGTTAGAAAGGCTTATCGGATCACTGAGACTAAACTAGATCAGAACCCACTCGGCCCGCAACGCACTATTGCTGGATTACCTGCCGTAGATCCTGAGCTTGATGGTCTTGAGGAGCTCAGCGCGTGGCAGGGTGGCTCTGCCCGCGCGGAACGTGGCGCTGCCTGGAACACATGGAGGCAGATCGCACATTGTCACTAGTAAATTATCCTGTGGTTTACAACTGTTTTGTAGCTCAACTAAAATTTCAGAGGAGATGCTAGCTGTCTTTTTTGCTGTACTGATCCGCGTGCATGCAGGAGGATTGCCCGGATGCACGAAAGTTATTTCCCCGTCGTATGCTCATTTTATCTCCAAAACGGTGCAGCGTTTACCAGCCTGCCCTTGTCGTTTCCGAACAAAAACGCGATTCGTCACTCTCAACATTTAATGGAACTGAAAGGTAATATATTCTCCTCACCTCCACTGATTCCTGCAGCCACCATGGCCAGCCCCAGCAGCAAAAGACGTGGCCCAGACGGTAGCGACATTTCTCCCAATCTGAAAAATGAGACACGCACATCACGTTACTGCGATGCAGTTTGACCCTTTATTCGCGTTCCGCACTACAGTACGACTGCAGTACGACAGGCCACTACACCTCTGTACGACTGCAGTACAACGTGTTGCACAACTCTGATGTGGTCCAGTAGCTGATCGCGTGCCACCGCGCTTAATCGAGTGCACCATCCTGTTCACCGAGTCCCACATGACAATCATCGGTGCTCGTCGTTTGCGTCAACCATCATCACCAAAGAGAAAGATAGAAATCACTTAACACCGACCATAGACTCCTGCCGCGTCTCTGCTTACTGTGACGGGTCGTGAGGAGAGGCTGACAGGTGTGCGGGTGGTAAGCGCTCCAGTGGTGCACGTCCGTCTGCTGCCGGGTAGAGTGGTAGCAGCGGTAGCGCCCCCCTGGTGCTCCCGGCGGCCGGTAGCGGGAGGGAGGGGGACTGAATGGGCGAGCGAGACAGCCGGTCGCCCGGCCGGCACCCGCAGGGCACTGGGGCAGACGGCGCCGGGGTAGCGCACTCTTTCCGCTGACACTTACCGGAAACCTGTTACCCAAATGGCTCGAACGGTGCTTGATGGTATGAAAAATTTGTGGCTGATTTGAAATTTTTAAAATTATATCGATAACTATCGAAAATTTTTGACTCA